CCCATGGACGCTCTTCGAGCAGGTATATATACAGCACATATATACAGACATCCAGCCATAATAATTTCTTATACGGGTAGATATAGCAGACTAAACATTACTTGTTTTAATAATCAAGTAATGATCTCTTATAATACCCAGACAGCCATCTACGTTCTGACAACGTTAGAACATCGCAAACGTATGTTGAATACGTCGTCAAAATATTCAAGACGCGTCTGTGATGTACAGAGTATTTTTTCAGAATCTACTATATACGCGGTTTCTCATTCCGTAGACTTTCGCAGAGAGCTCAGTGATATACCGTAGTTATTCTGAGATGTACTTCAATACGTTTCCAGTACGTCTCTATAGTATCTGCGTGTATATAGTGATGTCTCTAATATATGTCATGCACTACTCAGGTACATAAGGCCTGTTCTTTTTGGCTGAACTTTTGCACCAGTTCATCTTTCTTCCTTTTCTCTTCAGGAGGAAAGAAAAGGAAGAAAAATGAACCGGTGCAAAAGTTCAGCCAAAAAGAACAGGCCTATATACGCAGCCTCGCGCACATGCTTGCGCATACAGTGCTGAACGAAAGTATTAGTACACGATTACTACTATGAAATAGTATTTTCGGAGAATTAAATCTTTGAAAATACTTTTATTTTATAGTAGCATCCTCTGTGTTCAATATTTTTATCCAGCACTTTTGTATATTACAATTTAAAATGAGGTTAGATCAGTGAACATTTTGGAAGCTGTAAGCTTATTAGCTATGGCGTTACATTTTGCCGCACGACAGGCGTTTCCACGTCTAGTGTGCAGGAACCACAAGTCGGTACCACTCTTTCTAGCATAAATATTTAAATGAGAGCAGCTTTTAACAGAAAATTACAATAATTAATCAAGTACAATATTAATAGCTATACAGAGTCAAACGCTGTTTTCAGTGCGTAAATTATGTACAAATATATCTTTGATAAATTCAAATATTTCATTCATATATAAATAATAAAATAGTTTAATAACAATTGCAGTACGATGTTTGTTCCCATAATGTAACAGAGTTGCAATTGCAACAAAGTTACTATTGCATGTAAATGTATTCACGATAGATACGGTTCGTATTTTTAATTTTCTAGTCTTCGGTTTGTCTTTGTTTTTGTCACTGTGAATTCGTGCTATCTGCTCAAAATGTCTTTTATTAGCTTTATGTGGAACGCTGGGATCGAACTCTAATCTTTATATTGACAAGCATGTACTTTATCACCAAGTCATTTAGCATTTTCTACTATTTTATTAATTAATTAAACTTTCAAACTATTTTTTACTATTTCTTACTTCTTTTGGTTTGAACTAATTATTGAAAATCTCGTTTTCAACGACTTTTATGTTTAACTTTCTTATCAAAACTTATTTAATTCATGATTTGCCTTGAGTACCATTGCCGAAAATATGAAAGAGCATGAGCTTTTTTTTAACATTTTCTCATTACAGTCGAAAATGAGTTTATAATGGAAAAATGGTTTAATTTAACATCTTATTTCAAATGATAATGTATTTTTTATGTAATGCATTTTTATACAAAAAATTAGCTTTTATTTTTGTCTTTTTTTTTGGAATCTATGTATGTATACGTCTCTTTCAAGTTGCATCGCAGTGCAGCGAAGTGGGATGTGAAAGTGTGTTGTTGCAAATATTGTACTTCCCACAGTTGTGTAAACACTCGTGGTGAATATTTGCGACTACACTGACGTCATGTCTGGTTAGTTTATTATAACAATTGGGCGAGCATAATGGAAACGAGCTCGCGTGTATAAGCGGTGGAAGAACACAGAAAACACACGGTTACCAATTTGTTTAATTAATACAGGATGGAGGCGCGAACGCATTATGCGTGGTGAACGCGGCGATTTGTAATTTAATAATTGCAATCTTTCTGTGACATCATGACAAAAGACCGCATACGAACAGGTTATGCCTGCATTACGTGATAATACGCGCGTGTTTTTCATGTAAACAGTCTCGCCATCCACTTATTTATTTGTCGTCCGAAAGTGTATGGATAATTGCATTGTTAAAAGTAACGAGTGTTTATACAAGATATTTTATAAATATTGCCACGTTTGAATTAGTCGTCCAATTTGTAGTTAGACCATACGCTACATTGTAATTGTTTAAGGCAGCTCACTGTGTGGCGTTAAAATATTAATTAATTGTTTAAATCAGACTGTTATGATCGTCGTTGATTTGCATCTCTTACAAATTACATCACTGGTATTATCACGTTTTCATTATTACGTATAATTAAATTATATCCCGAATAAAATAAATAAATAGACATCGCGGTTATCAGATAAATCATTAGTCTGACATATATTTTGTGAGTTTTTAGACAATTAAAGTCACACAAGTGACCGAATTGTCATCGAACAATGCATCAAACAGCATGATAATTTATTCCGTCTTATAACATTCCGTTGGTTCATGTTACAGCTGAAAATGCAACTTTTAGCTATTAATAATTAATTAATAACTTGCAATTAATATTTTATTAATTTAAACTTCAATTTATATTAATTCGATAATTTGCTTCCGAAGATCATAAAAAAATCCTTTTATTCATTTTATGTATAATATATCGGTCTTTATTTATTTCTTTAAATACAATTAAAATTATTTCATGAGTATTTTGATTTCATTGCGCTAAAAATCATTCCATGAATACTTTCGACTTAATTGCTGTTGCTTCTATGTAATATGTTACAAAACAAAGTGTTTCAAAAAATTTCTGTTTATATTCAGAAACATATATTTCTTAATAAACTCGGGCTGTTGATTCTATAATTTTCACTATAATTTTTCGCGTATAATATACATTATTTTTCAAATTAAAGATGTAAATTATATTTGATGTAACCATCAAAATTATTTTATTATCATTATATAACTGTAATATAAATTTTACTTAATTTTTTAGTTATTATTTTATGTTTTCGCAAAAGAAATTAAAACAAAGGAAAGCTAATGTGAGTCGATAATACTATAGTTGTTCGTGTATAATGTATGTAAAGTATTCATACTTAACATTCATACTTAATAGAAAATAAATATGTTAACATCACGACAGATGAACACTGACTGACAAATAATAAACTAATCTTGGGTATTGCAATGTCAGACTAATAAATGTTTATTTATTAGTACGGTTTATGTAGACCCTCGGTATCTGTTTGTAGGTTTAAACTGTTTGTTTGTTTTTTAATGATCAACATTTCTGAGATTCACCGCTTATTATAACAAGGTTCTTCGTCTAAAATTTTAATGTTATCCCAAAGTCATATCCACGCTGCAACCTGTGCTCCGTTATCACAGATCGAGTGGACGTGTTGCACCGGATAAGTAACTTTAAAAAATTAAAATGCTATAGTTAGTGTTATTCTTCGCACGAAGTTTGTGAAACCTGTATATACCTAACATTGATAATGATCCAACAGGGATCAAAACGTTTGTTTTTGTTTTATTGTTTACTGCTGGCAAATTAAAGTTTTACATTTTAACTAAATGACATGTTTATTTATTAACGGTTTCACATTTTATTTTATAACGATTAATCTTAGGCTCGTAGCCCTTTTTTCTTTCGATTTTTTAAATTTATTATGCCTTATTACTGTATGTAAATGTAGATCGTATGTAAAGTATATATTAAATTAAAAGTACAGACGTTTCTCAAGTTTTAACCCTTGATATCGAATATCCTCTTCAATGAATGAATACAATTATTTACATTACATGTGCAATAATGAATAAAAATTACAAAATATAATAAATAACTTAAATACACGGAGAGAATTTTCTTTTAAAATTTACCCTGAAAATATGGTGATTGTGGTACAATACAATATTTTAAAGATTTTTACCATGCACTTCAGTAAAATTGATCAAACTTATTTTATACTTTATTGTAGTTTTATTAATGAATGAGAGATTTATATCAAAATTCTTCGAAATACAATGTTGTCCCACGATTGTCATATT